AATGTACCCTTATTTGCAATCATAGAGTAATGGCAACAGGGAAGTTTAAATCACTGTATAGTGCGCTTGTGAAGGAGGTTCTGTCCTTCAGCAGGTAATTTTTTGAAAAAATAGATAATCTGAAGTCAAGTGTCTGAATTAATTGAAATTCAGGCATTTGATGAATTAACTCAGTTCAGAATCAATTTGGGTTTAGAATCTGTAAACTCTGATTGCTCTGAAGTTAACTCTTAATGGTGCTCTTAACAGTTGCATTTTGTTGATTATTTGAGTCATGTGGAAATCGATCACCATGCTTAAGATTATCCATACCAAACATATGTATGCCGCCTCCATATGGAAATTTCCCCACATCTGAAATGCAATGTGCTCTCTCTCAGGATGCACTCTGCTAACCTGATTCCAGAGAGTATAACAATAAAATAAATGATCATCCATGCATTTGATATAATACCCTTCACATAAGGAGAACGACTCAAAATATTTCACAGGATTTTCCTGTAATGTTGGTGACCGTGGCAGACACTTTGGGCCCAGCAATGTCCTGCAAACAAAGTGAATGATCGATTTTATCTGATGGATTGTCGACCGAGACCAGGAAAAACTCGCTTCTCTTTTAGAATTGTGTCATGTGATTGTTATCACCCACTTGAACAGGCACATTTTTAAAAGCTAATTATGCTCAGTTCACTTTTCTGTTATTAAACATAATTTTTGTTAGACCAGAAAATAAGGATGGAAAAAAATCATCAAAAGTGCATGTCTTTGATAACATCTTTTATATATCTAAGCTTCACACCTAAACGTAATTTAAATAACTTGACTACAACAAGACAACAAGATTACATTTGTATAGTGCCTTTCACATCAGGAGGACGTCCAAGGCGTTGGACAGAGTATAGCATTTCAGACACGAGCTGGGGTTGGGGGGGAAGGGAGGGGAGAGGGAGGGGGGTGGCCGATGGAATGGTCGAAGAGGAAGGTCTTGAGGTTGGACTTGAAGGAGGCTAAAGAGGGGGCGAGGTGGAGTGACTGGGGGATGGAATTCCAGAGGTTGGGGGCAGAGTGGCTGAAGGCTCTCCCACCAATGGTGGGGCGGGTGGGTGGGTCGGGGGATGTGGAGCAGGCCGGAGCCGGCTGAGCGGAGGGAGTGGGCGGGTTGGTAGGGGGTTAGGAGGTCGCAGAGATAGGGTGGGGCGAGGCCATGGAGGGCTTTGTATGTGAGGACCAGGATATTGAACTGGATCCTCTGAAGGATAGGGAACCATTGGAGTCGGGCGAGAGTGGGGGAGATGAGGTCACGGGTTTGGAGCGGGAGAGGACACGGGCTGCAGAGTTCTGGATTATCTGCAGCCTGTGGAGGGAGGAGTTGGGAAGGCCGACAAGCAGGGCATTTGCATAGTCGAGCCTGGAGGTGATGAAGGCATGAACAAGAGTTTCAGAGGCCTGAGGGGTGGGATAGTGACAGAGTCAGGCGATGTTACAAAGGTGAGGGAAGGCAGAGCGGGTCATGGCTTGAATATGGGGGAGAAAAGACAGTTGAGGGTCGTACAAGACACCTCGGTTCCTGACTGACTTGGTGAGCTGTAGTGTGCAACCATGGAGGTTGATGTTGCCGGAGCCTGAGGTGCTGAGGCGCTGGCGCGAGTCAATCAGGAGGGCCTCAGTCTTGTTCATATTCAGCTGCAGGAAATTTGCCCTCATCCAGGACTTGATGTCCGACAGGCAGTCTGTCAGGACAGCAGTGGTCCTGGAGTTGAGGGTGGAGGCAGAAAGATAGAGTTGGGTATCATCTGCATACACCAACAACAACAACAAGATTCCATTTATAAAGCGCCTTTCACATCAGGAGGACGTCCCAAGGCGCTGCACAGTTGGGTCAGGACCCGAGCAGGGGGAAATGGTCAGGGGAAGGGAAGGGAGGGAGCGAGGAGGGGGGAAATGGCCAGGGTGAGGGGAGGGAAGGGAGGGAGCGAGGAGGGGGAAGAGAGTCGAGAGGGGAACTGAAGGCTCGGTCAAAGAGAAAGGCCTTGAAGGAGGAGAGGGAGGAAGCAAGGCGAAGGCACTGGGGGATAGAGTTCCAGAGCCTCGGGGCTGAGAGGCTGAAGGCCCGGCCACCGATGGTAGGGCGGTTGGGGCGGGGGACGTGGAGCAGACCGGAGCCAGAGGAACGGAGAGTACGGGCAGGTAGGTAGGGGGATAGTAGGTCAGAGAGGTAGGAGGGAGCGAGGCCATGGATGGCCTTATAGGTGAGGATGAGGATCTTGAAATCAATCCTCTGGGGGATGGGGAGCCAGTGGAGGCGAGCGAGGGTGGGTGTGATGTGGTCCCGAAGTCTGGTGTGGGACAGTACACGAGCTGCAGAGTTCTGAATGACCTGCAGCTTGTGGAGGGAGGTGCCGGGAAGGCCGGCGAGGAGAGAGTTCCCATAGTCCAGCCTTGAGGTGACAAAGGCGTGGACCAGGGTTTCAGCAGCGTGAGGGGTGAGGTAGTGCCGTAGTCTGGCGATTTTCCGGAGGTGATGGAAGGCGGTGCCAGTTGTGGTGCGGATGTGAGGGAGAAAGGACAGCTCAGGGTCGAACAAAACGCCGAGGTTCCTGACTGGCTTTGAGAGGTGGAGAGTGCAGCCTTGGATGCTGATGGTGTCGGCGCCTGAGGTGCGGAGGCGCTGACGCGAGCCAATCAGGAGGGCCTCGGTTTTTCGCACGTTGAGCTGAAGAAAGTGTTTTTCGCACGTTGAGCTGAAGAAAGTGTGGAAGTTGACCCCATGTCTGTGGATGATGTCACCAAGGGGAAGCTTGTAGATATTAATGAGAGGGCCAAGGACAGAGCCCTGGGGGACACCAGATGTGACAGCGAGGGGGCTGGAGGAGAAACCGTTAGAGGCAACAAAGTGTAGAAGGTGAAAGAGATAGGAATCGAACCAGGCAAGGGCAGATCCGCGAAGATTGAGTAAAACAGAGAGGCGGTGTATGAGGATGGAGTGGTCGACAGTGTCCAAGGCGGCAGAGAGATGGAGGAGGACAAGGAGGCAGAGGGAGCCCTGATCACAGATGTTCAGAATGTCATTAAACTGCATTCCATAACAGGCACTGAAACGCCATTTGGCATGGCTTGGAATTATTTCAACTTTCAAAGTAATTTATCAAAGTCTTCACAAATGCAGATATATCACATTTCCAGGTGTCAGCCTGGCTCAGTCAGCAGCAGTCCCACCTATTGAGTCAGAAGATTGTGCATCTGAGCCCATGTTGGACTTTGATCTTATAGTCTAGACTGACATTCAGTGCAGTACTGGGTGGGTGCTGTCCTTTTGATGAGATATTAACTGAGGTTTTGTCTGATAATCCAGAACTCTGCAGCCCATGTCCTCTCCCGCACCAAACTCTGTGACCCCATCTCCATTGGCTCCCTATCCTTCAGAGGATCCAGTTCAAAATCCTGGTCCTCACATACAAAGCCCTCTATGGCCTCGCCCCACCCTATCTCTGTGACCTCCTAACCCCCTACCAACCCGCCCGTTCCCTCCGCTCAGACGGCTTTGGGCTGCTTCACGTCCCCCGACCCACCCGTCCCACCATTGGCAGGAGAGCCTTCAGCCACTCTGCCCCCAACCTCTGAAACTCGATCCCCCAATCACTCCACCTCGCCCCCCCCTTAGCCTCCTTCAAGTCCCGCCTCAAAACCCTCCTCTTCGACCATGTCATCAGCCACCCCCCTTCCCCTCCCGACCCCAGCTTGGGTCTGAAATGCTGTACACTGTCCAGCGCCTTGGGACGTCCTCCTGACATGATAGGTGCTATACAAATTTAATCTTCTTGTTGTTGTTGCCTGCTCAGGTGGACAGACAGTAAAGATCCCTTAGGACTATTCAAAAAGTGAAGAGAGTTTCTCCTGATATCCTAGCCAACAAACCCCCAAAATAAAATTGGTCACTCACTTCAAGGCTGTTCATGCCACATTGCTGTGCATAAGTTGGTTGCTGTGTGCAAGTTGGTTGCTGTGTGCAAGTTGGTTGCTGTGTGTTGCCTGCAAAATACACAGTCACAACACTTTTAACAATAAATCCTGTGGAATGCTTTGAGACACGTTGACAACAGGACAAGGTACGATGTGAAATGCAAGGTTCCTATAATTATTTATAGCATTGTCTCGTGCACTGTTTACCGGCTCCTTGACTAAAAACGACCAGTTTATTTCCTGCCTAATTTTCAAAACTAGTAGAAAAGGACACGATTTTCTTTGCAGGTTGTCATTTTTTTCTCAAAACCAAGTTTTTAGGAATATTAAGTTTTTTTAACATTGTTTGTCTGCCTCTCTTTAAGTGTGTGTGTGTGTGTGTGTGTGTGTGTCTCTTCCATCCAAATGATCTGCCTTCCTCATGGTTTTGTTTGGATAAAGAATGAAAGGGAAACTATGAGGAAGGTTGCCTTTCGCAGGAGTCCTGCTGGGTTTGTGCCTGAAGGGTGAATGAAAGTGCTGTATGTGATTAGAGGGAGGAGACCGAGGAGGGTGAAGGCTGCCGACTCCAGGCTGTCAGACCGCACCAGACCCTGGCGTTCCCACCAGCTCAACCTATACGTTTCCAGAGGGATCAGGAGGAGGAGGAGGAGGAGGGAACCTGAGTCTGGGTGAAGTGAGATGAGTCACGTTTCCGCTTTCATTCACCAGGAACACTTCGATTCCCCACCCCCCCCCCCCCCTCCACACACACACACACACTCACACACACAGGAGTGTACTGAACTGCAGGGCAGGGCTGGCGGGGAGGAGCAGACCCCTGCGATCTGCAAACAAACGCTTGTGCTGAGCTCTGTGTACCTCTGAGTGTTTGTGTGCTGTGTGTGTACCTGTGTGTGTGTGCACCTGTGTGCTGTGTGTACCTGTGTGTTTGTGTGCTGTGTGTTTGTGTGCTGTGTGCACCTGTGTGTGCTGTGTGTACCTGTGTGTACCTGTGTGTGCTGTGTGTACCTGTGTGTGCTGTGTGTTTGTGTGCTGTGTGTTTGTGTGCTGTGTGCACCTGTGTGTGTGTACCTGTGTGTGTGCACCTGTGTCAGAAACTACACCCGGGCGGAGACACCGAACCACCGTTTACCGAAGCAGCGAGAAAGAAACTTGGCCGCCGGTGGTGTATTATCGTGTGTAGATACCTTGGAAGTAACTTTTGGAGCCAGACGGGGAGCGGCTCGGGTGGAGGCCGGTGTGAAGCGCCCTGTTGCTGCGAGCAGTTAGAGAGAGAGAGAGAGGGGGAGCAGCGGGTCACACACAGCACAGCACAGCACGGAGTGGAGTGGAGTGGTGTAGTGCAGTGCTGCTGATCGCTGGCGGTGTCTCGGAGTCTGTCTGGTTGTCTAACAAGTGTCTGTGCCCCCGGGCCCGGGGCCCGGCCCGGGACAGTCGGGTCTGACTCACTTCCCCCGGGGTCGGGCTGTCCTTCTTCAATGCGATCTGCCCCCCTCCCCGCACTGGCTATGGGGAACCAGGTGGAGAGACTCACGCGTCTGAGCTACGAGGAAGTGCCGACGGCCGAGCCCGCGGGGACGGACAAGGACGACGAGCCGCGGATCGGCGTCTCCTACATCTTCTCGGTGGACGACGAGGAGCTGGAGGAGGCGGTGGTGGCCGTGAGCGGCGGCGACAAGCGGGCGGCGGGTGGGGGGGGGCAGGAGGAGAGCCCCGACCCCGGGAACGAGGTGGAGTGCTCGGTCTACTACAGGGACCAGTGCGTGTACGAGAGGAGCTCGAGGGGCGGCGGAGGGGTGGACGGGGGAGGAGGAGGGGGCGGCGGCGGCGGCACCTGCTCCCCGGAGACCCTGCTCAGCAAGTGCAAGGCTGGGGACCTGGTGGAGTTTGTGGGCAGGAACCAGTACCCGCACTGGGCGGTGTACGTGGGCGACTTCCAAGTGGTGCATCTGTACAAAGCTGAGATCAGGAACGACTTCATGACCGACGCCGGTCGGGGCCGGAGGGGTCGGATCGTGAGCGACCTGTACCGGTACAAACCCCTCCCCGCGGAGACGGTGGTGCAAAACGCCACGGAGCAGGTGGGGGTGAGGGAGGAGGGGCTGAGCTGGAGGAACTCGGAGTGCTTCGCCGCCTGGTGCAGGTGCGGCCGGAGGGAGTTCAAGATCGGCGGGGAGATCAGGATCGGGAAGCAGCCCTACAGGCTGAAGGTCCACCTGCCCGACAGGACCAGCCACACGCTGGAGTTTCAGAGCCTGGAGGACCTGATCATGGAAAAGAGGAGGAACGATCTGATAGGGAAAATGGCTGTGATGCAGGAGCTGGCGGCTCATCTGCAGGTGGAGCAGGAGAGGACTGATCGCAATTCAGATTGATGGGGAATTAATTGCCATCCTCTCCCCCCCCCCCCCACACACACACCCCCCCACACACACACACCCCCCACACACACTCACTCACTCACACACACTCACTCACTCACACACACAGTCTCCGAGGGGGATCGAAGCTCGTTGAACTCTTGAGGCTCCGGGGGCTGAGGCGACGAAGGACGATCGCGACGTGCGGTCGCTTTGCTGTGTGACCCTCTCAGCTCCGCCGCTGACGGAGTTTAAGTGTGAAAGGATCGCACTAAAGTGAAAACTTGCATAACCGATACCTCTCACAACACCTCCCACCTACTCCCCGAGGGTCGGGGTGTGGACCCGACCCGACCCGACCCGACACCCGCACACTCCGGGGTGTGGGTTTAAGCCGAACGATTGATAACGTCGCGAATATCAGAGACTGTGTCCATCTGAACCACAGGGCGCACACGGCCATCAGACGTGTGACCTCTCTCCACAAAAGCTGTGCATTTGCTCTCTCTCTCTCTCGTTCTCTCTGTGTAATAGTCGAGATTTTAATTTTAAAAAAATCGCTGTCATCGAAAATACCAAATGAACTTCTCTTCCGGAGAGAGAGGATCGCTTTCAGTGATCACAGTTCCTTCAAAATGAAGGGCAAAAGTTTAATAAACACGACGAATGATGAGGGGGTTTTTTTTTCTCTCTCGAAGTGATTACGTTGATCCGAAGACAGATCGCGGTAATAAACAGGAAGAGGGTGGATGCTGTGTTGGGGTAATGGGAATTCAATGGCTTCACATGGCTCAGTGGTGACAGGAAAGACTTGAAATGTCCAGTGTTTAGTCACGAAACGGACCCTTCCCTCACTGTTTATTTGAGTTAAGAGGAATCATGATTTGCATACGTGGGTCATGTTTTAACACGTTCTTACTTTTTAAGTTCTGTCCCTCTTGGTTTCTCTCTCTCTCTCTCTCTCACTCTCCTCCCTTCTTAAGGTTGGTCTGAATCCTCAGTTGATCTAATGTTGTTAGGAATAGGATGGCTTTAAAGGGAATTGTTAGTTACTATCGATGCACCACCTCGGATTTACTGAAGTACATTTTATCAGATTGTCCATACTTCTTGCACATCTTATTAAAACTGAATTTAAGATATTTTTATAACTATTTTTAATTGTGCATTGTCAGCAGTAAGTTAATGAATTACTGTGTATTGTTTTGCCTGCCTTAATTTGTGTGCTTGAAATGTTTCCTGAAAAGTTAAGTTGAAGATCAGCGATGCACAAAGTTGTATAGATAATGTCTTTAGAAAACACTCGATTGACCGAAAACAAATGTAATAAAAGATATTGCATTACCTGATTTTCCATGGGGTTATCCATGCAGGTGTATTTATTTAACCAATGGAAGTGGAGTTGCTATCAGTATTGGCTTACTTTTATCTAACAAACCCTAGTACCTGATTTTACTAGACTAAAAGCCACACTAGTCCAAAGTCTTAAACGTAGTTCATGAAAAGAAACCTGGGCTTCTTCTAATATACTAATTAAATATGCATGGAAAATGTAGAGAATGAAGCAAATCCCATTCTCAGTTCTTCTCTCCTCCCTTAGAACACAAAATCACAAGCTTGGAGTTTTAATGTGACTTGAATATGAATTAGAAAATCTTGGTTGTGACATCCCTTTTGCAAAATTTCTTGAGTGGACATTCAAGTGTAGTCGTGAGACTCTTATCGTGAGCTAGAGAAAAGATGAGACGTGAATTTGAGGGATTCCTCTGAGTGTGAGAATTCAGGGCTGTGCTCCTGAGCACTGTGGAACTCTTGGTTGCACTTTTTATGTAGTTAGATTGAGACGCAACTGTGGTGATTTGAGACTTCTGTTTCAAACTGGCAGCTGCCACTCCTTTCAGTCAAGAGTAGCATCATGATTCATAAAATTGCTGCATAGGCTAAAGGATTCTGCAACCCACAGTCTGCTCCACGACCACATAAAAGTAAAGCCCTATGGAGGCAGGGACCAGTGTGAGACTTCTTAAATTAGCAGATGAATAAAAGGAAAGTGCCGTCACACAAAAAAAAGTGTAAAAAAAAAAGGCAGTTAAGCTACTCAGAGCAAAACAAAAACATTTGACATTTGGATTTTAAGCTTGCCTTCAAATTGTCACTCTTTGAACAATATTCCTGAATGTGTATATTGCAGTGGAATTACAGTAGTGTTAAAACAAATATGTTGTCGGTATCCTTAATTAATTCAACAAGCATCCTGGCCTAAAAAGTAAACACATAACTGCTTTATTGAAATTAACTTCATAGCTCTTGGGCATGAGTGATGTGGTGCAAGCAGGTGATGTGTCACCCATTTGTGTTCTCAGCATCCAGTGTTATTGGGATAGCCTCAAGAAGCAAATCCAAAAAGGTGGCTCGTTGCTGAATAAATGTAGAGACTAAATTATCTCAGTATCTGCAAGCAATAGACATTTATCAACTCCTGTGCAGACTGCTCACTGAGCCTATGCCTTAATTAACAAACAAACATAGTTACCTTGTTGAAATGAACTTCACTAACTCACAGCATGAGTGATTTGATGCTAGCAAGGGACATGCTGACTGTTTAGAGGCCTTTTGTTCATCTCCCACTCTGGTGTGGCTCAGTGGCATTGACAGTAATAATAATAATAATCCCCTTGCATTTGTTGTAGACCCTTATCACTTTGTTGAGACATTTCAAAGCACTTCACAGAATATACTGTAAAGTGAATTAACTATATTTTGTGGGCAAAATGCAGCAGCGCACAGCAGTGTCCCATAAACAGTCGTGGATTGAGTGACCACATTTTTTTTTTGGAAAGTGGCATTATTACCCCCGGAAAAGCGATCTGCCAATCGACTAACAACTGGGTTCCTATTTACTGTTTGGTATACAGAGGTCTGTAGAGTAAGGAAACTTGCCTAAGGTTTCGGCTTGCCTGGGAATCGAGCCCGGGTCCTCCCGCTTGCTTAGGATAGCACGCAAACCAATACGCTACAGGACTCCTGTAATAATAATAATAATCCTTGCATTTGATATAGCGCTTTTCACGTCGGGAGGACGTCCCAAAGCGCTTCACAGAACACACTGTAAAGTGAAGTGACTGTATATTTGTGGGCGAATGCGGCAGCCAATTGCGCACAGCAGTGTCCCATAAACAGTCGTGGATTGAGTGACCACATTTTTTTTTTGGAAAGTGGCATTATTACCCCCGGAAAAGCGATCTGCCAATTGACTAACAACTGGGTTCCTATTTACTGTTTGGTATACAGAGGTCTGTAGAGTAAGGAAACTTGCCTAAGGTTTCGCCTTGCCTGGGAATCGAGCCCGGGTCCTCCCGCTTGCTTAGGATAGCACGCAAACCAATACGCTACAGGACTCCTGTAATGCCCTCCACTGTGGTTTTATTTGGTCAAATATTTCTTCATATTATTCAACAGGCATTTTATTCATTACAGAAATAAGTTCAAGAATGCTCATTCACTTCTCTTCTCCCCCCATGTCCTTTTTCTGGGCTTATGCTCCTTAGATGTTTTCTGTCCTTGTCTCTCATCCTTTGAATAAGTGCAAATGCTAGTACTGTGTTGTAAGACACAGGTGACTTGGATTTCCAAGAGTTGTTTTCTTTGGTAAAAAAGCAGGTGGTAATGTGATACAACAGGTTTCCAGCGATCATCATATTTTGGCTGTTACCATTGGAAGTGCCCAAAAAATATATAGTAGGTGTTGGAACAAGTTGAATGAAAAGTCAATTCAACCATGAGTTTTGCCTATCCTTCTTCAGAAGTACAGGAGTACTGCTTTGAGATGCCCGGTGAACATTTGCTTCGCTGTTTGCCTTCTTGATTGGAGTCCTGTAGCTCAATGGTTAGCTCGCCTCGCTTCCTCCCTTGCCTCCTTCAACGCCGGTCTCAAGACTCTTTTCTTCGATCGTGCCTTTGGTCGCCCTCTCACCTCTCTGCCTTCCCTTACCCCTGTGACACCCCTCCCCCATGCTCAGGCACTGACACCTGTCTGTTCAGTGCTTTGGGACGTCCTTCCAACGTGAAAGGCGCTCTATAAATGTAATTTTGTTGTTGTTGTTGTTAGAGCACTCACCTCGCAAGCGAGAGACCTGGGTTTGATTCCCAGCAGGGCGAAATGTTGGTCAAGTCTCCTTATTCCACAGCCCTCTGTTTACCTACCAGTAAGTAGGAACCCGGTTATTGGTCGATCGGCGGATCACTTTTCCGGGGATAATAATTCCTTAAAAAAATTAATAAAATTGGTTTCTCAATCCACTACTGTTTGTGGGTCACTGCTGTGCGCAATTGGCTATCGCGTTCTGCCCACAAAATATATAGTCAATTCACTTTACAGTATATTCTGTGAAGCTCTTTGAGACATCTCAAAGATGCAAAAAGGCGCTATATCAAATGCAAGGATTACAATTATTATTATTGACTGGGAAATAGTGCATGACCCAGGGAGGACTGTGATTGAAGTCTAAAACACAATATTCACAAACTAGATGGGAGTTGCAAACCTCAACTTCCAGTTTGCGAACAATGGATTGTGAGATTCATGGTGAGATTAGCAAATACAATCCAATAACTTCAAAAAATTCATGTTTCACAAAAAAAGCTGTCTGTGAGCAAAACATTGAGGGGAAACAGCTGGTATTTGGCTTGACAATTTTTTTCATTAATCGGACATTGTTCGGGAATCACAAATAATAAGTTTGTGAAGCTTGCAAACTTCACAAGCTGGAAGTCACAATTTGCAACTGGAAGGCAGTTTGCAAACAGTGCATTTTCGATCTTATTGGCGCAGCTTTGAGACAGTTCCTCTGTAGCCCATCAGTTGTAAACTACTTCAGTAAATTCATGTACAATTTATGCAATAAAACTAGGCACATATGAGATTGATTTAGGTTTGCTACTTTTGAGACTTTTATCAAGAAAGAAAAATGATTTCCCAAGAGTTGTTGATTAAATTTAGATTCTATTTACAGATTTGAATTAACTGTTTTTAAATATATCTAAACAGAATAATTTTTGGGGCTTGTAGCATAACAGATATGAATGTTTAAACCATGCATTGCATAAACTCAGACACCAAAGAGGGGGAAATTGGAGGAAAATATACAACTAAAATAATCAGTCAATGCTCACATTACCATTAATGTGTTGCAACCTCACAATGTCATTAACTTGGGCGCTCCAGCCTCGCACTGCTATGAATACATATTTCCTGATCATAAACTGCTATTAAGTCATTCACTCCAACCTTTTACTATTATTACCACATTACATTCCACCCTTACACTGCCATTATCCAGATACACTGATCTCACAGACGCTCCATCTGCACACTTCACGCTCGGAATTCTTGCAAAAACATGAAGAGACGTTCACAAGACTTAAATAACCTTGATTTATTAAGTCTATTTTATATCTGTGATCTGTTGAATTAACCCCGACCATTATGGGACACCAATTGATTCATTTAATGTTTTATTTAAAGTTTTACTAAATAAATCTAAGCAAAAAGACTAAATTATCTTCACACATTAGTCTTTTTCCCTGATAAACTGCTATAACAATGTAAAAGGAACTATTTAACATATACTCTGATTATACTGGTGCTTTGTACTCTGTGATTTAATCTTCCACTGAACTATTTTTGTTTCTTCCCTTTGGAAAAGGAATAGTTTAAATTCTCATAATCCACCTGCTCCTTGTGAACTGCAGGTTTTCGACCATACCTTCGATCACCCTCCTTCTCCAACTGCCCTCCACCCTCCCCGATCCCGACCCCCAACCCGGGTCCAAAACGCTGACCGTCCAGTGCCTTGGGACATACTCCCGACGTGACAGGCGCTATACAAATGTCATTTTGTTGTTGTATTAATAATAGGATTCAAACATGATTTTCTTCCAAAATTGAAATTAAATTTTCACATGCTTTTTTGTATAAAAAAGCAGCTGTGAGTCACTTTGTGTCACATCACTATGCTGTTCACTCTGCAATCTCTCCCCCACAAGATATAACAACTTGTATTTATACAGCACCCCTCATATAGTGCAGTATCCCAGAGCGTTTGACAGTGTCGGAGTATGACGCTGAGCCGGTGGGTGGGGGGGTGTTGGTTGGATGCAGATGACCATAGGCTGTAGACCGTAGGGATGGAGGAAGAGTGTTTTAGTGTTTCGGAGTGTGGTATCTAAAAGCACAGTGGTTCAGAGGACAAGAGGGACATGCTGAAGGCCGGAGCCAATTGAGCAAAGGCAGTTGGTTGTAGGCTGTGGGGTAAGCAGGTTGGAGAGGTAGGGAGGTACCAGGGCATGAAGGGATTTGAAGACGAGTGTGAGGATCTTGAATCAATCCGTTCGGTGATAGGGAGCTGGAGGAGCCTGGCTAGAACTGATGTGATGGGGGCATAGAATTTAGTGCAGGCCACACAACTTTACAGGATTTTGCATAAAGCGCTTTGAGACATTGAAACAATGTCATTTCCCCCCTGTATCAAATGCAAGCATTATTATTATACCCACCTGAAACACAGTCAAAACCTTTTTTTAAAACTTAAACTGAGTATAAGTGTTTGTCCTGCATCACTGCTGAGTGACTGGTGGAAAACATGTCTTCAATGTGAACAATATTTTCTTCATGGAAGCCCACATACGAGAGCTGCACAAGCAGGTGCATGAAACTCTAACGTGGTCCCCACTTGAACCCCATGTTTTATTAGAGCTGAAATCTTGCAAACTTGCAATGATATGCGGGGGATTCTCTGGGGAAAACTGTTTACACCAGAGGTATTTTTGCCGATGACCTCTCAGAGCTAGCATGCATTTTTGCCTCCTCCCTCATACCCAATATCTAGAAAAGACCTACTATTAACTCCACCACTTTCTATAAAAAGAACACATGAGAATGATTAGTGGTTGTTGCACAATAAACCACTTGTATTGTGGCTGCCTGAACTCTTGCACTTTAAGGCACTTGTGATATGGATTGATACCACCTGGTTAGTTTTGCACTAACACCAGTCACTGACTTGTATAATTTAGTTATATGAGCTGAAGTGGAAAATCTTATGGAGGTATGTGAGATTCAGACACTAAATTCAGAACATTACATCAGAGATATTTTTGCCAGTGACCTCGCAGAGGCAGCATGCATTTTTCCTCCCCACAATATATCCAGTCAATTCACTTTACAGTATATTTTGTGAAGTGCTTTGACAACAACAACAACAACAAGATTCCATTTATAGAGCGCCTTTCACGTCAGGAGGACGTCCCAAGGCGCTGCACAGTTGGGTCATGACCCGAGCAGGGGGGAAATGGTCAGGGTGAGGGGAGGGAAGGGAGGGAGAGAGGAGGAGGAAGAGAGTCGAGAGGGGAGCTGAAGACACGTCTCAACGACATGATAAGGCGCCATATCAAATGCAAGGATTGTTATTGTTGTTATTAAGAATAGTTTCAGATGCACTGATCCAGCAGAACAAGAGGGTACAGGATCAGATAAATTTAGGTCAGACATCAGGAAGTTTTTCTTTACCCAGAGGATAATTAACAGCTTTCTCCAAACCTCTCCTGATTATAAAATGGAAACAGTATTCTTATTATTGCCCTCCAAAACATGAACTAAAAAAGGCTATACATTTTCTCATCCTCTATTCTCTACTGCTTGTTACAGTAGTATACAGTTTGATATTTGTATATTTTTTCCCCTCTCTATTTCTCTGCTAATTACTACAGTATTGGTTTTATTCTTTAAACTATAAACTTTAAATGAATTAATTTTTATTATTTCTCTGCTGACCTCATTCTCTCTCATTTCCTGAGCATTTTCCTTTCCCATCAGTGTATCGCTTTTTGTTTCATGGAGCCACTGTGCCACCTTGGTGTTTTGTTTGACCCTCAACTCTCTAAACCCTGTCACCTGCTGATTGAATAAGATCACTATTCACCTCTTCCACAATATCGCTTGCTTCTGTCCCTAATTTCCATCCAATTGGTTGAACAGGCTCAATGGGATGAATGGCCTCCTCTTCCTATATTCCTCTCCTATATCAAGCTCAAGCTTTTGCAGAACTCCCAATCCACTATCACGCTAGGCTCTATGTGCCCATCACTCTCATGGTTATATATATATATATATTTTATTTCATCCTTGAGATGTCTTCGCGACGTGAAACGAGCTATATAAATGTAATTTTGTATTGTATGGTTACGTGACTGCAGTGTAACACACTTCACTCTCTGTCCCCCTAGATTAGAAGATCCCCATCCTCACCTTCAGTTCCTGACTGCAATCTCCTCCGGCCCTACTCTCCCACCCACTGCCTCCATTTAAATTTCAGCCTGCTGCACAACCCTTACTCTCACTACTCACAGTCAAGCCTTCAGCAATGTGCCCCTGCTTTCTGTAGCTCCCTCCCAAATCCCTCTGTCACACTGTCTCTTTGTTTTCAAAACTCTTCTACAAGTCTATCTCTTTGACCATGCCTTCAATCAACTACCTGTGACCAACTTCCCCCAACTTCCCATCTTGTTTGAGTTTCCACAATGAGTAGCACTTCTGGATATTTTCACTGTGAAACGCAAAACATAACACCATGTTGTGTTGACAAAATTGACCTCTCTCTTCTGTCCTTCAATGCTTTCATGGGATGATATTTGCAGGGTTTTGTAGTATATCGATGTGATATCACGTTGAATGCTTTCTGAAATGCTCCCAATTTCACCCTTTTATATATCTTATGATATATCTTTGACTTCTGCCTTTGAACAATCCCTTTATATTTTGTTGCATTCAGTCACTATGAACCATGTTGATTTTTGTTGCTCGCTGACTTTTAAAATCTCTCCATTTCTTTTTCTCTGATAATAATGTTACTATCACCCATTATTTCATCTCCTTTGTTCTCCTATTTCAGCACCTTTGATCATCAAAGTATTGAAAGACACCAGACAGAATAAATAGTTTACCACATCAAATCTACTCTAACTTCTAGCAGTTCTTTACAGACCCATTGAATAATAATAATAATAATAATCATCCTTGCATTTGATATAGCGCTTTTCACGTGTCCTGGACGTCTCAAAGCGCTTCACAGAATATACTGGAAAGTGAATTGACTATAATTGTGGGCGAAATGCTGTAGCCAATTATGCACAGCAGTGTCCCACAAACAGTCGTGGATTGAAGTGACCAATTTATTATTGTTTTTTTCTTGACGGATTATTATCAGGTGTATGGAGAAAGGAAACTTGCCCAAGGTTTCGCCCTGCCCAGGAATTGAACCCAGGTCTCTTGCTTGCCAGGCGAGTGCTCTAACCACTGAGCTACAGGACTCCTTCAATAAATCTTCAGCAGGGAAAAAAGTTACAATTCAGAAAACAGCTGCCGACTGTATCTAAAGTTCTGTCTTTATTTTAACACTCTTCAAACACAACTGGGATATGGTCTTATTTCTTAGCACGACCAATGCAGAATACAGGCAGGCACTCTGAGAATCGTGGCCCCTTTCTTAAAAAAAAGATGTAGTTTCATATATTTATAGAGCTAAAGAAGCTGAATTTTATAGCAAATTAGAATATTCAAAATTTATTTTCAATTATGCAGAATGACTGGCCAAATTAAATGGAACCAGTGAAGCAATGAAGTTAGGTCAAGGTATTAAGGGATATGGGGCAAGGGCGGGAACTGGACCTTAAGTACAGATCAGCCATGATATTATAAAATGGTGGAACAGGCTCGAGGGGCTGAATAGCCTACTCCTGATTCTATCTTTCTAAGTTATTCTCTGTTGTGCAGCGCCGATTGCATCACAAATTTTGAGATACATCTTCCACGAATCGGCCATTAAATGTAGAATGGTAAATTCAACAACAACAAATTCACATACGCACACACACACACACATATATATAATATGGGTTTCAAAATGTTACTGTAGTACTGCTTTGCCCCATTAAAGAGGCTGTGTATTGATTCTTGAGAAGTCACAGCAGTCAGACTAGCGTTTTTCTTACTGCTGTTACATGCAAGTGACACAATTGTATATTTGCATATGAGTTGACCCATTGCAGTGCTTGTTCCACAAACACAAAAAAANTGTTTAGTGATCATTTTTAAACAAGGCCGGTGCCTATTTAAGGCTGGAGTGGAATTCAAAGAAATTCAGCTGTGGAGATGCAATCAACAATTGAGCAAGTGCTGCGTCTGTGTGGTATTCATTTGATAATATGTGGTGAGTACAGTCAGCATGAACCACATGTGGCCACCAGCCAATTGTACAAAATGTGTGTGGAACAGCAAAGCATACAGATTTAACCCTTAAATGATGTTGTGCTATTGGCCAACTCACTTGGGGATCTTGTGTGCTGCACGTAGCATCTTGAACACTGGGATACTTAATGGGCCTTGATCATGTGTGCCCTCAAGTATGGTATTGCGGTTCAAGAGAGGACATTGATGGTAGCAATTGGAGGATACAAGGGGCATACATCTCAATTGTCGATCATATCTGTCGATTGTGGTGGACACCAACTTTAGCTTGGCACTGACCTTCGGGACTGTGTTGAGAAGGGGCGAAGGGCACTATGTTGTTCTCATCTCTTTTTGAGTATAGCAAGTGCCAGTGCAGGTTATGTTTTGCAGCCATCACTCTGAAAGTAGATGTACATTGGAAGGTGTTACCTCAATTCCAGGTTTGTGAAAATATGTTCATATATCTAGAGCCTGGAATCCACCTTGACTGGTATGCAGAGAGGTAAAGCAGATGCTGCAGAACTCCGTATTTTTGAATGGTGGAAACATCACTCAATAGTTTGCTACGGGTGCCTGAGCTGTGGGTTTATCCACTGAGTGAGCACTTAAATTTGTCTTTGTCAGATGTTGAATGAACTCTGGATGGATGGATATTCTTCAGCATGGAGATAGTTTTTTGCATGTGTCAGACAACTGGCTGACTCAAAACAAATCTTCGAGTTGCGACTGTCTTTGATAATCTTCTGTCACTGGGTGCTACCCATACCAAAAGTTGTATATTTTCAGCTGAGATAATGTGGCACCGATAACAAAACAAATATTGAAGCAATAAAGATATTCAAGAATAACTACTACTTTATTATTCAAAGTCTGTTGAAGTAAGCACAAAACGTGCAATTTTAACTATAATTATTTAAAAAACGTTACTATTGCTAAGCGTACCTTCATTTTATTTTGTTGTATTCCTTATTTGTATATATTAAACAATTTATTTTTAAATTATAATTTACCAGTCTTTTTGTTTGTAGTTTCTCTGCTTTAAAAAGCTTTCACTCACATATTGTAATAATAATAATCCTTGCATGCGATATAGCGCCTTATCATGTCGTTGAGCTGTCTCAATGCGCTTCACAGAATATACTGTAAAGTAGATTGACTGTGTATTTTGTGGGCGAAACACAGCAGCCAATTGCACACAGCAGGTCAGACCATGTCAACTTGTGACCCAGATTCAAAATGAATGTAAATAGATCACAAAAGCTGTTCAGATGAAGAAGGCCCTTCAGCTGATTTAATCTCATCCTTCCAGATATCTGCGGAAAGAGAAGGGTCCAATTTTAATGCATTGGCACCACAAGGGATAATGTATTCCTAAATCTGCCAAAAGTAGTGTAAACGTGTGTAGCAAAATTCCCAAAACAATTCGGGTGAGAAAGGATCCAAATACGTTATTTCCATAAAGAGAACACAAACTATATTTTTTATGTGCTGATGCTCGGTGTCTTGACTGAAGTATATCATGAATTTATAGCAGCAGAACTTTAAGGGGATTGAGAGGACTGTACTTTCAGTTCTGATAGCTAGATTGAAATAAGTCTAGATTCATGGGATGAAAAGTCAACTTCTTTCACCTTCTCGCACTCCTTCTTTCTCAGCCATCTTCCTCCCTCTGCCTCTCCATCTCGCACTTTTTCTTTCTCTCCCTCTCTCACTCTCAAAGACCCGATTAACATAGGTTTGGCCAGTTTCTGGTGAACTCAGATACAGTGCTCAAAACTACCCAAGAATTCATCACAAATTGGCAGCTTTATTCAGTGAAACACAACAGATGACAAGGTGCTCTTCTGAGGGTTAAGGCAATGTTGGAGCAGAGTAGAGTAAAGGTTATGTTCACCTGGCTTGTTCTGGGAGCCTTTCATGTGGTCTTTTTTGGCTGTAAAACTGGATATTGTTCCATCCCCTATTTTGAAATAGGGGATGGAATTTTCAAAGATGGTACATGGGTTACAACCTTAAATTTGTTAAAAGCAACAATCTCTACCAATAATCCTTACCTTTGATGTATCGCTTTATCACACTCCTAAGATGCCTCAAAGCGGTTCCCAGGAGTTTACTGTGAATCCAGAAATGCTATTTTAATTTCTCACCTATTTCTCAGATATTGAAGGTGGGGATGAAATACAACAACAATTTGATTTCATTTGATGCTCTTCAAACAGGATAGTGTCTCGGAGTGCTGGACAGCGGCAGAGCTTGACACTGAGCCAGAGAAAGAGGGGAGGTTATCATGATAGGCAAGGTTGAAGAGCAAAGTCGTCCGGTGTGATCTGATGATGGGCAAGGAGGGGGCAAGACAGAGGGATTCAGGCAGAGATTTCCAGAGTCTCGGGGCAGAGTAGCTGAAAGCACAGCTGCCTGTGGTGGATCAGAGAGGATTAAAGACGTGCAGGTGGCTGGAGCCAGCTGAGCAAAGGGGACGTTAGTGGAGTGGGGTGTAAGCATGTTGGGCAACTAGGGAGGTGCTAGGGCAAGAAGTGATTTGTATGTGAGTGTGAGGATCTTGAAATTGATCCATTTTGCAGGAGGGAGTCAGTGGAGCCTGGCGAGGTCTGGGGTGATGGTTGTGAAGAGTTTGGTATGGGTAAGGATCCAGGTGGTGGAGTTTTGAATTAATTGGATTTTATGAGTGGTAGAGCTGAGGAGAACAGGGAGGAAGGTTTTGAAAAAATCAAGACAGGTGGTAGCACGTACAATGGGAGAGAAAGAACACACCGCTGAGGTGATTAACTTTACCACCAGTAGGATTCCACCCCCAAAGATTCAATCCATCCATAGTGCTGGTCCATGATTTTTCACACTTCAGTCCCAGACTCTCATTCACAACTGGTATAAATAGATTGCATTCAGTCTGAAGTTTCTTTTCCATTTACAATTTTAAATGGACAGAGTAACAATAGGACTTGCAAACTGGTGAACTAGCCTATTCAACTCTTGCCAGATCTGCAATGTGTTTCAAGTATAAACAGAGAATGGACTCTTGAACTTAGTTTCACAGACTAGGCAGTGGCAGATTTCATCTGCTGTTTCTCCCACCTCCCATTCCCACTATCTAACACCGAAAACGTACAGAAAATGCATTCTTAACATTCTGCATATGCCAACTCATTGCGTATGCATTCAGTGTCTTACACATGTGCAGTGCTCAGTGGAGCTGGCCACTAGCATAAACAGGGTAAATGCTCACAGTCCATCTGCACAGTTTAATTACTGAAACCTAATTAAAGCACCAGGTCTCAGCTTAATCAAGTAGGTGACAGCCTTAGGGCCACTGCTATTCAACTTCATAATGACAATGAAGAAGAACTGAAATAGAAATAAAGCCTTAGCCAACATACTTACAACCTGAATCCAATTACTATTTAAAGAGAAACAAACATTCACATCCAGTAAATCGTTTAACCCTGCTCAAGAAATGAAGTAGGGCTTATCAAGTTGCTGACATGGTTTAAATCTTCGGATACCTCATTCAGAAGTCCCAGTCCCACATTCTAAGCATCAATTCATTTTACACAGTAACTCCTGGACTAGGCTCTCCAGTCAACAATATTTGGAGCAATGCCCCCCTCCTCCAAACAGGCTCAGGTCTTACAACTATCAGCAAGCGTTATCATGGATAACATAATAATAATCCTTGAATTTGTTATGGAGCCTTTCACAGAAGGACATCTTAAAACGCTTCATATACTGTATTGTAAAGCAGTGGTGGCCAACATTTTTGGTTGGCCATCAAAGTAATCATAGAAGTAACAAAATATTCAATCAGGAAACATTTATTTTTCACCTGCGTTAGCCAACAAAAGAGGTTGGCCACCACTGTTTTAAGGTGTAGTGAATGTGCATTTTGTACAAGTAGTAATACCTTTGAAATTTAAACAGGAAGAACACAATACAAGCATAGTACTGTATATCTAAATACAAACTGGATCTGGCAATTTGGTTTCCATTTACTTTGTAAAGCAGAATTTCTACATCATTCAATCTAAGATTTGGGATCATGATGGCTTACTCTATTATCCATCCAC